TATTTAGGTGGATGCCGTTTTGGATGATTACTGCGTCTGGGCGCGCGGAACATCCAACACAGAAAGACAAGGTCAATTGCATGAACCCTTGTTTTAACAGCGTTTGCCCTTGCGTGAAGATATCCGCTCAAAGCCTGCAAGTCAACGCAGGGGCTGTGGCCGTTGCCGATGTGCCGTCTTGGGCGTTATGGATAGCGCCGGCAAGACCCTAGCGTGGCCAGGTGGCTTGCAGACCACAGGCACTTTGTGTGGATGGGAGTCTTGAAGTGCGATGATGAATTTGGTAAGATCATCGTGATGTGTGCAATTACTTGAAAATAAGATAACAGAGTTCCATTCAAGTTTATTACGCGGTCACCTTTGGGACACCAGGTCAATGAGTAGATTGCTCAATAATGTAACGACTTCATATGCGACACACCCTCCATATCTTCTTTGCATTATTTTGCTGCAAGAAGTGCTGCAAGCCGGCTTGCTTCCTCCATTGAAGTGTGAAACACACATTGCAAGTTAATATGTCATCTCTATGTCGAAGTCCCGAACTTCTGGTTGCTATTCGCGAACCGTGTCGTTACCTCCAATGAAGGCGACTTCAGGGTATCATCCGAAGTGCAGATATTTGACGGCCCAAGTGATGCTGAGGGAGAGCGGCGGTAAAACTATTCTCAAGAGGTATTTACTTGCATGGTCGGCATTCAGATTTCATCTTCATTGATGTCTATGACTTCTGGCCATATGAAGGGCTCTATTCGCGGCCTTTGCGGCACAAATGTCTTTGTGTTTTTGGGCGTCTTCTCTGAAACAATAAGTACTAGTAAATACAATCCCAAGGCGAGGGAGCTAGGAAGGCACGGTATCTAGGTACATTGAGCACTCAACCAAGGCTTGTTAAGTTCACGACCCGCCTGCTTGCTGCCTCCGTCATTTCGTGTTGTCCTACCGCTTCATGAGTCGTTTCTTGTAGGCCGGTTCCTGTCCTCTATCGTCATCACGGCCGGACTTCTTATGCGGCTTCCCACTGCCCCTCATCTGAGAAACCGACGTGGACCTGGGCCGCTTTCCTGCCGCTTTGATTTTCTGTTGTTCCTGCTGCTGTCCCTGCTTCTCTTGCTGCTCCTCTGCCTTTTGCGGCTTGGACGTATTGGTCGCGCTCGCTTCCTTCAGTCGATCATTGTTCTCCTTTTGTAAGTCCTGAATTTGATCGTTCACTGCCTCCGGGTCGCACGGCACAAGCTTCCCGTCCTCGGTCAAGAGGATGCCACTCTCAAAGTCGGTACTCTCGGTCTTCACCCGGTCCAGGTTGATCAGGCAACACCTCGAAGACGTGTCGTATTCGAGGGGGAAAGGGCCGTAGGTCGTCTTATTCAATACGGCTTTGCCCTTCCACGATAGTTTGTTCTTTCGAAGTGTCAGCCCCAGCTTGCCGTCCCCGAAGTCATGCAGCTGTAAGCAGAATTCCCAGTGGCCTTTGGTAGGCGGTGCTAATTCGAGAATGTCGTAGCAACACGTTGCTGGAACGTGATCCCATTTGGCAGAGGCTTGAAGCTGAGGGTCACAGACGATCTTGAGCCTCGTCGTCCCGCTGTAGCGCTTTCTAAAGTAATGGGGACCTTCCTGCCAGATCGAGCATTTGTCAGTGGGAAAATCAAGATGATTAATCGGCATCTAGGAACGCACGTCCATAGACCGGGTCGAGAACACAAAGACCTAAGTGGGTAGCTGGAGGTCAGGGGAAATCTTACAGAATCAAGAGCCAGAAAGGCTGTATTATCCCAGCTTATGAAGCTGCCATTGGCGCCCTCTGACGGGCGACCTGTTTGGAACCCGAAAGCAGCGCCCCTGTCAATGAATTTCTTCACCGTAATATTATCGACCGCCGCAAGAGCAGCGCCCTTGCTGATGTTGAAAGAGCTGTCGAGACGCAGGACGCATTAGCAACTTATTCATCTCCGAGCCTTGCGAAATTTCGAGGTTCCAATCTACATACTCTTTCTCACCCACCGCCTCGTAAAAGAGGAACGGCCCGTCAATCTTGAGTTGAGCACAAACTTGCTGAAGATTCGCCTGCACTAAAGCGTTCTTGCCACTGCCGCCAGACAGAACTATCTTGACGTTTGAGCCCAAGGCGACAGCGGCGTCAATCTTCTTCCTGGCGAGTCTGAGGGGGGTTTCTAGCCCGTCGAGGAAGCATTGCCTGGCATCGGTCGCGCGTAAGTGTACTGATATGCTACCGTGGTTGTCTGGATCTTCTGCGTGCAAGACCATGCTCGCGAACAAGCCTGTTTGTAGCCTCTTGATTTTCAAGTGGAACATCTCCAAAAGGTCTGCTCGTTGGCTCGGGAGTAGAGTCGATTTGAGTGACTTTTCGACGTAATTTGTTGCGAAATCATCAACTCTTTTCTCCCATAGCTGTGTACCGCCATGAGCGGCTGATCGGTCGTTCATTAGACGTGGCTCTGTGGGCGTACGTATTGATAATGTGATTGGACTTACTAAAGGGTTCCCCAACTTGGAAATAATTCAACTCGTCGCCACTCCGTCGTACGGCGCTGAATATGCAGCCGTTCTGCGCCACCGCGGTTAGTAACTCTCCATGCTGAGATCGTGAATCCCCAAACATCGCTACAGCTGACTCACCATTGTGTGACCTCCAAAATCAAGAAAGACCAGATGACAAGGCTCATCCACCTTGGTGAGTATCTGCTTCATGTGACGCGGGCTCGAGAAGAGAAAGTGAGCCGACGCCAGACTCTCCACATGAAGCTTGATGCGACCGTGTGCTTTTGTAAACGTATTAGACTCCATCATGACGGCGGCAATCAGGTTCTCGTAGTTGGACAGTTCCTGGGCTGTCCAGTGCGCTGGATGCGACAGGCCAACCTCGTCAATATGAAGCGCGCGATCGGTACAGAAAGTTGTCACCTCCTGAAATACGGTCCTCACAATGGCTTCAAGAGCCCTGCGGATCCGCTTCTCCATGCCTCTGAACTTCGCCAAGAGCCCATCGAGAAGTGGGTTGCCGGTCTCGCGGTCTTCGCACAGGAACCATTTTGAGGGGATGGGCGTGCAGCTTTGGTTGTACACCTCGCCCGTGTACACTATGCCGCCTCGATCGTCGACGTAGAGAGTTGAGTTGAAGGCGCCTGTCTGATAGCGGATGTCATGTCCAGGAACCGCGCCGTGGTTCCAAATTGGGTGCAGCTCCTTGGTCTTGCGGATGCAAATGGTTGCACGTATGGCGGTGCTGCCCCAGTCTATGCCCAGGATGCTGTACGTCGTGAAGACAACGGTCGGTCAGCTTATGAGATGTTGAGTACGGTTCAATGATTGAATGAAAGGTGTTGATATGGTGATGAGTAAGGTTATGAAGGACTTACGCTGCCTCTGACTTAGCGCGAGCATTGGACATGAGAGGCTGGATGTGACCACTCGAGCCGTCACAGTGGCTGTTTTGAGATGACGTCTTGGGCCTGAATGAGGCTCACATAGGTAGGCCTTGAAGGCAATATTTACACGTGAGTCGCGTGCAACACGAGTTGTAAGATTTCTGCGCGCAGGTTGAAATACGTCGTTAAACCTGGGAGTGAAGCTCTATGAGCACGTCCGTTATCGCACTGAAAGTGATGAATGAGGTGAGAATACGGGTAGATGAGGGTGGGTCGGCCTATGTTCTGAAGCACGTCCCCCTTTGCGAGAATCGTTGCAGTCGTCAGCGACTTGTGATAAGGTAGGATCAAGTACATAGGCAGGGAAGGACATGAGAAACAGCGTTAAGGACAGGAACTTGTACAAAGGCAGAATTACTCCACTGAGCGAGCTGAGGAACGCTAAGGTAGTATGGCGAGTGAAAGGTTTGCTGAGGGACAAACGCAGCAGCAGTGTATCTGAAGTGTAGGCTTTCTGACCAACCTGCACACCAGTGAAAGACGCGACTTTTCGCGACGCGGCAAGCTAGGTGCCTAAAGTGAACAGGCCAGGGGGGCCATTTGTTTTACGCAAGGTAAACAGGGGTAACGGCAAACATTACATGCGCTGTTCCACCTCATGTATCCGTACCTCCGATACATTCCAAAAAGGAAGCTGGGCTGCGTTTGACTTCATACTGAGTGCACTAAGGCTTTTGTGACTAAGTAGCTGACCCCGTCAGTATTATTAAGGGTTGAAGTGAATGAAATGCCACCTCTTTCGCAAGTCATTTCAAGAGTGTCGCATCTCTAATTGTATCTAATGGAAGCCTTCAAGTCATCTCTTCTTTTTTCTGTCGAAATGACGTTTCTCAGGTTCACCCTACTCCCTTCCCTTCCTTTTCCTCGTTCATGCTCTTACAAGTTCAGGGAAAACTCCACAAAAGTCCGTCGCCGGAGGTGCCTTTCGAAATTCACGATAGCGTGACATGCGTAATAACATGGCTAATCATTCGGTAACGGCAGACTTCAAGACTGGGCAACAACCCGATTCCCGGCCCTCCACAGAACTTGGGCCCCCAGAACTTGGGGGCTAACGGACGATTTCTACCTTATCCCGGTATCAACTCAATCTTCAACTTCCTTCGATCGCTTCGGAGATGACACCCAGAGCTGAAATGCTACTACCCTCATGGGAATGCTACTCTCGTCAGTTAATGAAAGATGCCTCGCAAGAAGACACGCGGTGTAAGTATGCGGACGCGCTTACCTGGATTCCATAAAACCCAGTGATGGCCTCTCCAGGACCTGCGGCGACTAGAAACGAAGTATTGCTTGGCAAGTTATCTTGAATGGAGAAGAAGCAGCTCCTTCCTCGGTTCGTGGACACCTCAACGTGATTCCTTCAGCGCACATCTCTTGCGGGAGACTTTGGAAAACGGACAGGTGAATATGGGCAACTCACATTGAATGCAGCGATGAATCCTTCTTCCACCATCCATGCGTAAGCATCTTTGGGATCAACATTTTCCTGAAGAATTTCGACCGCAGTGATGAGTTCGCCTCCTGCTCCGTCGATTTTAAAGTTGATTTCCTTTGTCACATCTCCAGGCATTTGGCAACCGAACTCTCTATCGAGTTCTGGAGTGTTGTATGTGAAGTCGATGCGGCGTATGCCGGCGGGGCCCAGGACGACCCTGAGATTGTTGAGTTTTCGGAGGTGGGCACCACCTGGGCCGCCGAAGGAGGTCCAAAATAGTGGTTTGAATCCGTCCAAGTAGAGTTCCCTGGGGGCGAAGGAAGCTTCGTTCAAGCAGAGGTCTGGTCCCGGGACTTCGGGATACCACAACCCCATATTTCTCAATCTGTTGTCATCCTGTGCTAGTCTTGCGATAGATGAAGACTGGGGAAAGATAGCCAAGCTCACAACTTTGCAACCCTGTGAAGTCAGCATACTTGCATAGGACAAAGCTTAAAAGGTCCACTTGACTCACATCAAATCCAATGTCAAGGTAGTTGATGCGCTCGCCTACATTGAAGCGCATTGTCTTGAGCGACGTCCCCGGACTGCCGAGCCAGTGGGAGGTATGGGAATTTTGATTGATGCATTGCAAAGCTTGAATCCCCCTTTCTCCCACAGCTAGCTTGAAGCCGATTATGTCTGAAATCTCCACGGACTGCTCGACAGTAGTTCTGTAGCCTATTTGACGAACATCGCCTGTGGCCGTGGCAAACTTCAGTCCAGCGATGTACAGAATATCTCCTACGGGAATGGACCAGACAGAAACCGTCGATAAGTCTTCAGGGATGGTCAACCGGTACGTTTCGCGGAGAAGGCAACCTTTATCCACGTGGGAGTGGTGTGGCCCGCTCGGTCTCTCCCACAAGTCTCCCGACACTTTTAAACGCTGGGTCGGGCCTTGCTGCTGGGAAGGTTCTGAACCACTGTCGACCCATTGGAAGTCCAGAGCTGCCACAACTTTCTGGGCCAGGTTCCAAACACGAATCCTGTTCTGGAGGCTAGGACCTATGTGCGCATTATTGGTTCAAAGATACAGCCATCTCCAGTCCCGAGGCTGAGCCCCGTCCTGGGATTCGAGAAGCCATGAGCGGTCTGACTTATGTTTGAATCTCGAGGCCCAGAACTGTTGACTATTGAAAATCGTCCAGAACGAACGTGAGGCCAACCGTAGGTTCAATACATCCAATGTCGGCAGGAAAATGGCGATCGCTGACCGTAACTCTTCTGGGAGCGCATAGAAGTTGTCTTGCTCTGGCTCTATTGTATTGGGATTAAGCCCTTGTGGACTTGGCGGCTCTTCGGGTGCCTCGGTGAGCAGGTTGTGGGCCTCGTCAGCTTCGTACGGGTTGGCGCTGAGAACGGGGTCGGGATCCATGTAGTCGCGATCGAAAAATCTGTCCTCGAACGGAAAGTGGTGTTCATTATCGACGATACTGGCTCCCCCGTAGTCGTGGCCCCAGCTGATACCTACTGACAGTAGCGGAAATGGGAGTGATTCGCAGACGTCGGACAGTCTCGATAAGGGAACTGGACTCGGATGGAAGGCTTTCTCTAAGAGACCCCAGCAGGCATCATGAAAAATAAAGCCGTGCCTTCCGTCAACTGGCGGGAAGCCCATAGCACCAAATTGGTCTTCATCTGTACTGTCGTAGGTTGGGTCATCCCAACGACGCTTGTGGTCGACTGGGGCGATGAATGCGCCCCTTGCCGGATCATCGTATAAGCCAACACCGGTGAGAATAACGCCATCTGGGCTTGAAGTGACTTCGGATCAGATGAGTATGCTTCATACTCCGAAAACAAACCTAGAGCACTTACCTCCGCGGAACTGATTCAACCAAGAAACGCTGCCTGGTGCATCGACGACGACCCACCCACAGAGAGTGCACGAGCATATACGTGGGCTCATGCTCGTTGTGACGTGGGAAAGGAACTTGGAAAGAATATACGGCATAGTTTGGAACATTGGGCGGTTGCCTGAAAAGGTTCCATTTTCGCTGCAGGCCCGATCGGGGAAATGTTGGTTCCGTGCCGTCACCTCGAAACCTGGACCTGAACATGGACGGTACCTTGCTGCTAAGGTAGGCTGCGATCGTTTACCATTCCATGAACCTGTTTCGTTCATAATACGCTAGTCTTCGTAAACTTGAAGATGATTTGTTACCAATTCATTTAAAGATACACTGATACTTGATTCCATCCCGCGGGCATGTTTCCTGTCGGTATCTCTACCGACGTTTCTTACCCCGAATTCCTTTCCATCAATATGGCGCATGATTCTACGCTTCCGCGTTATCGCTTGCATTCACTCCAACACCAGGGATCTCAATGACCATCGCAAAGTATGAGTAGATTTCCTCGGAGGATGGCTCATTGCCGTACTGCAAGTACGTGTTAGCTAATTTCAAATCTCAACGTGGGCAACGGGGAAACGTACTGCCATATATGACACCTGCATATTCGACTCGCCATTGTTCTTGTTCAGCCAGATGATCTTGCTGGCGTCGAACTTGACCTTGTTGGTTCTCATGGCCCGGCTGATGATGCTTTTCAGATCATCGTCGTCCTCAACCAGCTCGTCAGTGGAGAATGCTTGATTGATGTATCCGACGGTTCTGGTGTAGTACTTATTACTATCGTCGTCGTCCGAGTCAGATTGGTCCCCGCTATCGTCGCCGTCCGAGTCAAATTTGTCCCCGCTATCGTTCTTCGCCAATGTCACCTTCTGCGTTGGCTCGGTATCTGAATCCTCATCGGAAAACTCTCCATTGTAAAGCTTACGTCTGCAAAAGCCTTTCGGGTTTTCGAGAATGGCACACAAGTTGACTTTCAAGCCTAGGCTCTTGAAGGTGTTGTAGAGCACCATGTCAAGACCCTTGAGGCAGAACGGAAGGCCGTGTTCCTTTTCGGTGTGAGGATACGCGTGCGTGCTGTAGACTCCCAGAAGTCTGTCCTTGGACTGGAATTTCTTGGAGCCGAGCAAGTCTACGATCTGGCTATAGAGTGGCAGCGAAGTAGGGCTGAAAGCAGACGTTTCACCTGCGAGTTCTCCGTTTCCTGCTGTGGCATATAAGTTGTATGTGAGTGTAACTCTGTGACCGGACTTGACCTCGAGCACTTCATGTTCGCAGTCGCTGTAGAAGGCCGCCCACTGAATGACGGAGTTGTTGGAGTTCTTGGCCCAGTCAAAGGTGTGAGTCTGTCCAAAATGTCTCACTGCCAGCTCGCCACCCTCATGCTTCATCGGAAGACAGACAACCAAAGAGCCAATCTGGTAGGGCGAACGAGGAGTATCGACGTGCGCCTTGAACTTGCCCGAAGGACCAGAGTAGATCTGTAGAAGGTCATGTCAGAGAGATCGAGATCGTAGACCACCATACATCAACCCACTTACATTCATATTGTACAGCTCCGCCCGGATTGCCCGCGTGTCTTCGTCCGTATCGTAGCTAGGGAGAAGAACCTGGCAAACAGCGTCGATGATGCCTGTTTCATATGGGCAGAAGGTGGTGCAGAAATCACCCGCACCGAGCTTCTGAGCCTTGCGGTACGTTTCATCGAATTCGTGCCGTCCGTTGAGACCGAATGTAGCCTTTTCAGAGGCTTTGAGGAGGTGATTGAAGGCGACAGCGTCGTCATCTGAAGCGACTGGGAAGGAGACTCGCTGGGGGCCAGGATGTTCCCCCGGATTGTCCCACCGAAGAACGACCGAAGAAGACACAACCTGAGTCGTAGGGCTAGATTCGTCTTTGGGCTGCTCAATTGGGATCTCACCGCCAATAGCAAACGTACTACCGGCGAGATGTTCGTCTGAGATGGATTCAGAGACTTGCTTTGCAAGCTCTCGAAGCGTGGGTACGGAAGCCATTTTGTACTTTTGGTCTGTAGAACGGTGAACTGTTGATTGTAACGTCAGTTGAGACGAAGGTGGAAGTCAATAGATGGATGTTGAGATGATGCAGAGTGAAGATGTTACAGAGGATTGCAGGGAGAAAGATGGATTATATACCTTCCAACGATGTTTCTCCGATGATCAAGGCATTAAGTGAAAGTTAAAGTATGGTGATACCGTACAGACCACAAAGGAAGGTAACTCAGACACCAAAAGGTGGGTCAAGCAGGCAGCTGAAACTCAATCTCGAATTCGAAAGGTATTGACCGTTGCATGGCTGTATTGAGCTTGAAGGCAGGCATCTAAGACGAATTTGCTTGGTTGCCTAATGCCTTCAGGGCGTTTGTAATCTAGATACTTAGAGAGCTGGCAATGACTTGACACGTCCTCTGATCCCAAATGCTGCTATGGTCACTGATTCAGGACATTCAGACGTGACCAAATAATTCACATCATTCCAGGGTGCGAGCCGCCTATGTGCCATCATGGAGGACGGCCAATGATTGAGTACAGCTACAGTTAAGCTTGAACCTGCGACCCATATGGAAAGTAAGTCATCGGCATCTCAGACGATACACAATGTGCTCTTCGTCTAGCCGTCCTTTCCGGAGAACCTTTGCAACTGATAGGAGACCTGTGCGTATCTTGGCAAGCCAAGGTAGCTTAGCTTGTATTTCCGCCTAAAGTTGTATGCACATAGGCGTAAAGCAGTCGCCGTTTGTTGACCAAGTAGGTTGAATGCTCATCTCATATATCCTAGTTTGCTTCTTGAGCTATATCCGCTTGACAACGCCGTACGTGCACACGCCAGCCTCAACTTTATAGGCTATTGGGGAATTTCACCAAATATTAAAAAACCTCCTTAGTGATTCATAGTACACATCTCTTTCCCAGCTGAAGGTGCGACGTTTTGCGCACTCTCAATGCTCAGAGGCCCTTTTCAACCTCTGCAAAAGCCTCTGCGAACCCAGGCTCCTTCTTCGTCTCTGCCCATATCCTCTCCTTGAGGCCATTGCCCTCAGATGTGTACATCACAGCTGGCCATCTGAACTCACATTAGCTTCATGATCGCTTCATCCTCAGCCCACGAGATTCTTTTAGTTTGACTTACGGCTTGATGAGTCCGTCCGAGGTGAAGCTTCCGTGACTCTCTCTGCCCTTTACTATTGCCGCATCAAGATAGCTTCTAGCGCCAACTTCCACGCTGCGGCCGATAGTTTTCTTCATCAGGCCCATGAACCATGACTCGCTTGCTGGCTTGACGATGTTGGTACCGCTGGTGAGGCCCGAATTGGCGAGATTGACAATGATCTGGTTCGGGTTGACGTAGGTCGCAAGCTTTGACACGAAAAGCTGGCCCAGGAATTTCGACTGCTGATAATTCTTCCCAGACTCCCATAGGGTTTCTTTGTCGGCCGGCTTGAACATGGAACCCGTCACCATGTCCTCTTCTGGCGTATGCCAGTACGTAAAATCTGAGCTGACGATGACGAGCCTCGCCTGGTCTCCTGCCGGTTTCTTCTGTTTCATAACTGGAAGCAGAAGCAGAGCTAGTAATGTAGTTGATAGGAAGTTGACCTGAAGCATCAACTCGTGGCCTTCTCGCGATACTATAAAGTTTTGGGCGACCACCGCGGCGTTGAGAATGACGATGTCGATCCGCGTCAGCTCCTTCTTGCACCGCGCAACAAAGTTCCTGACGCTCTCGTATGACTCCATTTCCAGGTGCCATACTTGGATCTGCGCCATCGGGAACTCCCGTCGTAGGCCTTCGGCGAGGGCCTCCCCCTTTGATGTGTTGCGGACGCCCATAATGAGGCGACCGAGTGAGCGCTCGAGGAACTGACGGCTGGCTTCGAGCCCGAGGCCACTACTAGCACCCGTCATAATGAGAGTGCAATCAGACAAGTCGAATTCTTCCGGGATCTCGGCTGGTGTGATGACGGCCTGGCGGTACAGGAAGGATAGCGGGTTGGCTTCCCAGCCCGCCTGGCTAGCCAACTCATTGGACATTTTGGGCGATCAGTAGGCGAAAGGTTGAGCTTGGTGAAGATTCTAGCAATAGCTGCGTCGTCTGTTTCTGGAAACAAGCTTGGAAGAGCTCAAGAGGCGACGTCGACGTTTGATATATCCCGCCGGCCGATCCGACAAATATGGAGCCAAGAAACACCAAACAAGTTGGGAGGGCCCCTGGTTCCAGCTCCTGCTCGCATGTGGTCGGAGAAGGGGTTATCTGGTGTGGTATTTGATGTCATGCGGTCTGCTCTTGTGTCGCAGAACCTTTGACTTTGGACCGGGTTCCCCCACGGGGGGCGCGGTGTGCATCGAGGACCGAGCGGGCGGACGTTGAACGGTCTTGAGACGCGCCAATGTGCCCCCGGGGGACCGGACGCTTATTCGCGCTTGGATTGGGCGCTTAAGGGGTGTCGAGGTCTATCATGCGTGCGACGTCAAGCAACCCTCCAGGTTTGTGTCATTCTGGTGCAGGTGCTGGACGGGGCCTGTCAAGGTCAGTGATGGACGTTTTGCATGAGGGGCTGTTTCGTCGCACGATCTACCGCAAGGTCGACTCGGCGCAGGGGTCAGGGATATCGGGATGTTAGGGGTCCACGACGCTCGGTGTGCGAGATCTAAGAAAAGAAGCAGTTGCTTAGTCACCGACTGCAACGCTATTGACTTGAGTGTCGAAGCATTACGGTGACACTGAGGCATCGTCTGAATAGCTGGGCTGTAGGTTGCTGCTCCATCTGATGGATGAGATGTATTTAAGCAAGGCTTTTTCGTGAATGTTTCAACAGCCGCTAAGCTTTCAACCAGTGTATCGGGGTGGCATGATGGGAAATGCAATTCGGTGAGGTTCATTCACACCGAGATATACCGACCTGGCCGAGTGCACACAGTTCGGTGGAGAGGAGTTCTCGGTGAGGAGATCCGATGACTCAGCATTCCCACACTGGACCGGAGGGACTTCGGGTGAGGCCGACCATGGCCTGTGCTTGGAGACTAGTCACAAGAATTAGGTACGTAGACAAATCTGCCCCTCCGCCTCCAGCTTGATTCGCCCTCGGATGGTGGGGTTAAAGGAAAGATGGGCGGGACCTGGAACCAGACGAGTGGGAGGAGAATGCAACCTTGGCCTTTCTGGACGCCGTTTCGTCCTTTGCCAACCGTCGAGTCTCGTCACCGCCAATCCGCTGCCACTTCTTCTCGAACCACTCTCATCCAAGCACCTACACAATCAACGACCACCCCTCCCTCTGCCTCTCCGGCCCCAAACCGCCTGCAGGATTCGAGAAGCGAAGAGCCTTTGTTCCCTCTCGTCCTATCTAACTTTCTCTTTGTCCCCAATCTTTCCCGCTCACACCCGGACTCGAGTCTCCACCAAAGGGACCACCTCCTCCTCGTTCCTCCTCCGCCGCCGTTCTCTTAGCCCTCCCGATCCCGAACATCCGCCAGCCTCAAAAAAAATGTCCGGTCTAGACGCCCCCGAAATCGCCGCTGCCTACGATGCCGTCCGTTCCGACAAGGACGAGACGAGCTGGCTCCTCATCTCCTACGCCAGCGCCGTCGGCAACAAGATGACCCTCACAAAGACGGGCACTGGCGGCCTGTCCGAGCTGGCCTCGGAGCTGGACGACTCACAGGTCCAGTACGCCTACGTCCGCGTCGAGTACGCCAACGACGTCGAGAGCAAGCGCGTCAAGTTCGCCTTTGTCATTTGGATCGGCCAGAACACAAAGATTATGCGCAAGGCCCGCGTCAGCATCGAGAGCAGCGAGGTCAAGAGGGTGCTGCCGCACCACAGCATAACGGTCAACGCCGATCACAAGGGCGACTTGGACGAGGACGACATTGTCAAGCGGTTGCGCAAGGCTGGCGGCGCTGACTACAACGGTGGACGCGGCTAGATGCCAGGCAGGCTCGCTTGACCAGCGAGGATGACCAAAGGGGGAGAACAAAAATCTGCACGCATATATATTTCAAGGGGGAGTTTAGAGAGTGGCTGTGGCTGGTGGGATTTGAGCTACGAGTACAACGGTATCTGGCCAGGCGGAGGCGCTTCAGGGAGCGGCATGCATACTCTTTTTAAATACAGCATACACCTTGGATAAATATTTTGGAACCCAACACGGGGACCCGGCGCAAGTCGAGAGAATCAAGGGACTTTTATTTCTTGTCGAGCAAGCCGTCTACTGGTCCCTCGCCCAGTTGCCAGCGAAACCCGAATGCCTGAGCATTGAATAAGGGCTAAGGAATTGGGACGTGTCCTCCGCCCCTCGATAACAGGCTTTTGAGAGATATCCCATTCGGTCTCCATTGCCAGGGTTCAGGTGCTGCCCTGCCTTACCATCCAATCTCCTCCCACATCATATTGTACTGGATAAGCGTACCTCATTTGAACTCTGTCCTCTTCTCGAGCTAAAACGGCATCGTCGTCTGGCGGCAGATCAGCATCTGGGACGATCCCTGTATCGTCGGCGCCTCCACATCCGGGGAAAATTGAACATGGAGTAAGCCAGTGAGTTAAGCAATTAGGCCGTTAGCATTGAGCTGGAAAATTCAACAAGTCATCTGGGACGGCCGACGTTCTACGAGTTCCCCCAGTGGTCTCCCCGGGTGCGCATTCGCCCAAGCCAAGACCCTACCCTTCGACAACCCACTCCAGAGTTGTAGTCTGCTATTGTTTTAGACCCTGAGTTCACTGTGCGAAGGGTCGCGGAAGGTCCGGACGGGCTTGCGTCTAAGCATGTATGCTGGCTTTCTCGGACTTTTCGGACTCGCTGGGTGCACAAGAGGTTGAATAGCAAATATGGACTAGCTTGGAGCGACGACGAAAGAACCTCGGCGCCTGAAACCGAAGAACAGAATGAAGAAAAATCACACATGCAATCATGATAGCTGCCTGATGGTTTCGAGAATTGCTAGACGAGCGATCTGTAAACAAGCCCGTGAGCGGCGCAGCTGCCGTTATTATGCTCGAAAATACAACCCGAGATACGTCCTTCCATCATCAGCAATCAATACGTAAGTTCACTACTAGCCGCTCCTAGCCGCTAGGGACAACATCGAACATGGCGCTGATAGAAAGTATTCCCTCAAGAGCCAAGCGGTGGAAAAGGACTTCAGTTCTCGGCTTCGCTTGGCATAAGGGAGCGCTATGCCACGAAATCCCTCTTGGCATTCGGTCAAAATCTTAACAGGCATGGTCACACCTCGCATCGGGTCCTCGGCCAAAATAAGCTTACTCCAAGGAGACTATTTGGGACTTCGGTATGCTAGTAATAGGCATGCACTGGAACTCCATTCAATGCCAACATCCTGCCGTAATTAGCTAGCCGAGGGAATTCATCGAAACATTAACCGCAAAAATCCCTCGCTTTGATTTGCTCGCTTGCTGTTTGCATCGCGGAGCTCACCACACTTAGTTCCCATTGTCCACTTTATACCACGGAACTACTAAGTCCACTGTTAGTTACACTCCTTTGCTACTGCCACCTCGATTGCTGTTTAGCCCATAGGAAGAAGATGCGTTGTAGTCCACAATACTAAAAGCATAGTTACAACATTCAAGTTGGAAAGGCCTGCGACCATTCTCTATAGCCTCTCCCAAACCTTTTGTAAAACCATTCTTTAACAAAGATCAAGCCTTGGAGATTCCCGTGGAGCCTGAGCTCGAATAGAGAGTTGAATCATCCCACAATTGAGGGGTTATGCTTGGTGCCAAGCGATTATAAGAACTTCCGTCAGTGTGGACCTCTCAGTCACATGTGGCACCAAGACAGAACTTCAGTCACTGTACCCAGACCTGGACCTTGCGAGACTACTTAGTCTATGGTATTGATACACGGGAACTCAGGAATTCGTATATTGCCGCCAAGCTGAACCCTGGCGGCCCAGAGCTATGTACTGCAACTTCACTATGACTTGGCAGATCCCGCAGGATTAACATTGGACTTCGAAAACATTTGCATGCTTTGATTTGGTCTAGTGTAAAACCATGAAGGAAATTAGCCCTCTTATTGAGACTTCGGCACAGTCAGTGTGTCGAGTCTGATCTATTCTAGTGGGGAGGTGAGCCTCATGACCGAGGCTTGGAAGGTTTGGCCCCTCACTCGCGGAGTATAAAGACTTGATCAAGTCTCACTATTCAGGAGGTTCAATTCAACCTGCTCTCATCATCAACCGAAAGCTCCCACTTAACATCAGAGAGTCTCATTCAATCTACTTTACTCACCATGAAGACTGTTCTTTCCGCACTCGTGGCGGCCACCATGGCTCGTATCACTTATGTAAGTCGCGGCTCTGACAACATACTTTTTCTTCATGGATAATCGACCTCTTTACTAAATCTTACTTATATCAAGGCCTCTCCAGTTGATTCTGGCCTCGTTGCCCGGGATGAGAGTCTGATTCCCTACCCCATCGGCCTTCTGGGCTGGGAGGGACCGCTTACCCCCGGAGGTCCTGATGTGTACTACGAGGGCGCCGACATCGAGGCCATCAACGCCCAGATCCTCGCAGATACCCCCGAAGCCTCCATCTTTGTCAACATCACCGAGTCCGGTGTTGAACAGAGAGATGCGCACAACAGTAGCCCCCTCGAAGCTCGCCAGGTAACCATTTTTACCACACTTCGACAGAAGTCTTACTAATTAATACAAAGGCTTATTCTCAAACCTGCGGAGCTGGCCGCTGGGGCCTTGTGTCCCAGATTGATATCCAAACTGGCATCAACCACTTGTACAACGTCGGGCGCTGCATCGTGCAGGCGCGCCAGTGCATCCGGACCACCTGCAACCAGGATTCGGCCATTGCGTGGTGTAACGACAACACGTACGCCATCAACGTCCCCTGCCGCACCGTCGCCGACTTTGCTTCCCTTGCCATGTGGGAATGCGTCAACTGGCGCGAGATCCCCTTCCCGAACCTTCCCTCTACTCAGCGTTTCCACGAGGCCGAGCGCTGGAATGTTATTTTGTCGGAATGCGGTAACTTCAGTCCCGGTGGCCAGCCGGTTTGATTCTCGCTCGAAGATCCTGGCAAAGTCATTGCTGGCTACGAAAAGAGTGTCTATGCCCTGACGTCTCTTCCATGACTGCAAACACGCGCGGTCAGTAGAGAACGCGGCCGAATTCTGATCAAAGGAAGGAAGACAGGCCGGGTCGATCTCGCATGTTGAGCCAAATACCCTCAAAACTCCACTTCTTATTTCACTCATTCTCATGTATCTATGTTCTCGAAGGCAGCAACAATTGCTTCACATACTTGCGCAATTTTACTTATTACTCCCGCTAACCACGTAAACGTTGACATTTATGGTTTAAGAAAACTTTTAAGAAAACTCAGTGTCTTTCAACACGTGATGTCTCCGCAAACATAATGTTCTCCACATTTGCTTGACGGTCCGGGTTTGGTTAGACTACGGGCTAAGTTAATAGGTTGCCTAAAATCTAGAAAAGGCTTCAGTTCAACATAACCCAGAGATCTTTAATTATCCTCCCCCAAGGCCCTGTTAAATTGCTCATTATAATCACTTGCTTGACACCGCATGCTGGAATCCATTTCTCAATCCTCATCTCCTAAGATGGCCTCATCTCCAGATGACATCGCCGTCTCGCTGGCTGCATATCGCTCGTTCATCTCAACGCAGAACCGCCGCGCTCTCGATGTTTACGTACCATTCATTGCTGCCGCGGTACCTGACGATCTAGAAGACGACGAGGACGTCGAAGAGCTCCGCCTAGACGGCCTCAATACGCTCCTTGACACCAACCTTAAGGACTTTGGTGTTTCAGAGCCTAGCGAGGTTCTTACACGTTTCGATGAGCTGGCGCCGAAGATTGGCCTCGACGGTACTTACACGATGCAAGAGCATGAAGGCACCTCTGAGGAGCGTGACGCTATCCGTCGCGAGTACCTCTCCGTCATTGAAGAGAATTTGAAGCGAAAGTCTAGGGAAGACGTGCGAAAAACCATCTCGATTCCCGAGGACTTTCGCGTGCTGGCCGGGCTCGTTGACGGCATTGTGGGCTACGGGCTGCCCGTCTTTCGGAACAGGTCCCATCCGGCCTTCTGGTGGGGTTGCCGAGATGACCTACGCCCGCACGCCGAGAGAGTGATGACGCCTGAGGACCTCGCGCAACACGCGGGTCTCCCAGAGTGCTGGCAAATTGCGGGAGGTTGGGCGCCAGGCACAGGGCCGGATGCCAACTTCAGCATTGTGTATAGCCGCGACTCTGACGAAGACCCTTGGAAGTGGAGATACACTCTTTCCACACTGGATCACGGCTTACACATCTTTGAGATGATTCCAGAATTTCTGGCCTGGTACGCGCATTTCAGGCAGTTTGACGAAGTTCCCGGGCCTGATGAGCTGGACGCCAACGATCTCCTTTTCGGCCAAATTTAGCCATGGTTCGTGGCTTCGACGTCAAAATGAAGAAAGAGAAAATGATCGCAACACAAAGATATACAGGCGATCTCAGTGAAGCCTACTACGAGCACCACATATTCTTGTCATCTCACTCCCCATTACCTAGTCCACAATGCCCACAAAGAATGCACTCTGTGAATGAATCATCAATTTGATAAGACCACCATTGGTTGTGTGTAGCCACGTAAGGGAAAATAGGCCGCACTGTCGAAAACTTTGGCGAGCAAGTCAGCAGGTCAGGTCTTTTAGTGCTTTCACATAAGGAATCTGCAATGCGGGTAAGATGACACATACGTAATCATTGAGCGAAAGGTGATTGAGAGGAATTGGTGACATGGCAGCACCAAGTTGCAAAAACCGTGAACCCACTTAACAAGACAAGACATTCCTTAAGAGCGATTATCAACATTGGGAGTTAGCATCAGCTTCAGAAGAATTGCCCCCTTGAGGCCACTGTTACCATACTAAGCTGCCGCTGGATAAGTCAAACCGCCAGAGGGGAAATACTTTGGTCCTCAGCTGCATATAACATCTCTTTTGATAATCCGAAGGCGCAAGAGGTTTCTTGTGTACAGTCCCTCGTATTTGTTTTCTTCTGATCGCATGGTAATTATATTCTTGTTGGACTTCGCTTAGGCATGTCTGATCTTACAGCTTATGCACGTAATATTGCCTCGAGGATACGAGGTAGATCGTGGCCAGTTGATGTAAGTCAGCCTTGGCCAGCGTCCTACTAGCGGATTTTCTTCCCGAGGCAATATCTTGTGGAGGCTCTCATAGGCAGACCTGCAGTCGAATGGACAGTCGTAAGCCCACCATCTTACGAGCGATGTGGGATGATATGGGCACAAACAGAAAACATCCATGTGCGGAATGTAGACAAGAAACCAATATGTCATTACATTACCATATTAAAACATGTCTTGAAGTAATACCGAAGATGGTGGACACCAATATAAATAGGACGAAGCTTTCCACGGTAACTTGAATCATACCAACTTCAGACCCTGACGAAATGCTCTGTACGTTCTTACGTTAACTATAGAAACATTATTGCCAACCTTCCTAATTCCCAAAGACAACTTCGAAATGATCATTCAAGCCATCCTCAAAACAACCGTTCTTGCTGCTGGTGCAATAGCGGCAACTATTACCGCCAGGAACGACGATGGAACCAACGGTTTCCGTCTATGGGCCAACATGCTTTACCCCGATTCCCCAGGCAATGGGCCTATCATCCAGGGTTATGAGCTCGGCTACGTCTCCGACGCCGCATGTCAGGCCACCGTGATCCTGGTACCCGAAAGTCAAGGAATCATATTCTATGCCAATAATAATACTATTGGCGTTGACTTTGGCGGCGACGCATCCTCCTTCGCCGGCATGGTGGTGCCCTGGCGCGGGCCTGCGATGGTACCTAGCGGTAGACCCGTGGAGCTCAAGTGCGAAGACGGTACACAAGGTCTCACCCTCAACGATAACGGTGTATACTATCCCGGGGAAATGGGTCCAGATTTTAACGGTGCATTCATGGTGTGCGAGGATGGAGCTGAACCGTTTTTAAGCTTCTATGGCTGGGGTCAGAGGCCTCTATGGGGTTGCACTGTAATTCAGCTTCTGCCTATCTACTAAAGGCTAGGAGCAGACTGCTTTCCCTTTGATATTCGCCGGAAGGAAATCTGTGCAGGCCATTTGCTACCATTGCTAGCGCTATATACTGGATATGGGATTCCAGGGAACTACATCCATGAGTATCTATACAAATGTCAATGCATGAGCATCGTGTGGGCAACTTGACATTCTAGAGAAAGTCCGTCCAGGGCATGCTTCGGGGGATCAGTGTATTTCTAGGGTCAACCTATGTTAGCGGCCGCTACACTGAAAGTACAGTGCCGGGTTATAGACCGTCGCCCTATCCAAACCAGCGCACATCACCTTGTCCAAGTTCCTACTCAATTCCACCATCTCTATATCCACCGCCCATACTATTCTATCCGGACTCCGCAATGAACTCATATCGATGTATTGTTAATATTTAGATACTCCAGTATATTCACCTCCGATACATCTTCTTTTTAGCACTGGTCCCGACAGTCTAACATTCAAATTACATACATCATTCCTCTTTACCATCCAATGGACGTAATTGAAATCCTTAAAGATCTGGGAAAGTGGAGAGTGAGTTCGCACTGTCCAGCAGATTTTACACCCCTACACAGTTCATATCCTTGTCGAGATTACATATATTAGTACACTGAGCTTAAGAAGCTACTCAGCAGGCATTCATGTAGAGGTACGAATCTTGTACAAGATCTTGGATGGAGAGCACAAGGTAGACTTTGCCGTTGGCCATAAAGCAGCTAACAAAAATCTAGCGACCTCGCCCCTCCCGGACACAGCCTTTGTGCAGTGTGATAGCACCATGACACTAAGGTAGACCCTAAGCCGCCCCCCAAATCTCTTCATGCCGAAGTTGAATATGACAGAAGGGAGGCCTGATCTAATGCTATAAAAAACGACAAAGGAAATCTATATTTTTTTTTCTGGTTTGATTTCTTTTTCTCCCCACCCCCCATATCTGCTTCTGAGGACATGTTCTTTTCGTAGCGGAGACCCGGTAAGCCTAGAAATGATGTTGAATGAACGGTGTTCCGTATCCAGGGTTTTGGTCTAGTAAAGTGTCCTGGAATCTAAGAGGCAAAGAATTGCTGCATGCATTATGTCGGCCCAGTCGAGTTTCAAGCCATGCCATCATCTGATCCTGTAGCCACCTCGTCTCTGTGATCGTCTGATTCAGGCTCGAAACTGAGGTCTTTGTTACTTTCAGTTACGCCAGGTTTGCCCTTCGTCTCCTTCCCGCATGCGGGGATGTCATGACAGGTACTGGTCTGGGCAGAGTCTGTGTTGTGTTTGAGTGAGTCTCAAGCGTGAATCTGAAGTGCCAAAGTACGAGACTTACTCCGCGGACTTGGTTTTCGGGCTTTCAGTCCGTTGTTGTGTTCTTTCACCCAGCTTTGCTTGACTGGGGCGTTCCATGGCGATTTGACTACGTAGCATTGATATGTCAGATCAAATAAACACATTGAAGAGACCGAGTATCCGTTCACTGACCTCGCCGAGCGTATGTACGAACAATCTCGTCGTCGCTGGTAAAAGCGATGCCACAATTCTTGAAGTGCGTAGCTGCTAGACCATCTTCGAAGGGATCACTACTGAAGATTGGATCATGGCAGCCTTTGCTCATCTTTGGGCAAGAAAGAATGTAGAAACTTGTGTCGTCGTTGAGCTTGTAAGAAAAGACAAAGTTCGTAGGGTAGTATACTGTGATTGACGACGTCAAGGTGCATGTGACATTCTTCTGTCTAGAACGTTGGAAGCGCTTGTTGTTCTGTTTCTTTGATATAAGCTTCTGACGGCCACTCTTGGGAATTGTTCTCTTGGGCGGCTTCTTGGTCGATGACGCAGGGGATGATCTTTTTGTCAGTGTATTTTCCAGGTTCTCGAGGCTACGATTTCGCCTGCGTCTCTTGTTCAACTCTAAATGGTCATGACTAGGCACTTGGGGGGAAGGACTGCGAGATTCCAACTGATACTCTGTGGTGTTTTCAGTCTGTTCTGAAGAAAGCCCGTCTGATGACTATAATGATTGTGAGCGGTATGAAGTGGAGAACAGGCCAAGGAGTCTGATGAAGTACCACTATCGAAGGTTCACTAGGCTGACGAAGTTCAGGCGGTGCAGTGAACATTGGTCGCTTTGAGGGGGCATACTCCACGCCAGAAGAGAAAAGCCCTATGCCCTGTTCGAGAGAGAAATTGCTGACGTTGCAGAGAAAGCTTTCCTCAATTTGAGCAACGATAGACCCTTTCTCATCAGAGGGGAATCGGCTTGGCGTTTCGGATACGAGTTTATCGCGCATTCTTTCCCTGAAGGTTTCGTATTGTTTGACGAGCCTTTTCATCTCCTGATTCAGTTCCGCCTCGAGGTGAGTGTTGTAGTGTTGTGTCAGCTTTTGAATATATTCTGCGGCTTTCCGAGAGATTGAAGATGCCATCGGCAGGTCAGCATCCATGATGAACAGGCAGGTTTTGTCTTACGACGGGTGCCGAAGAGGATGTACTGATAGGTGCAAGAGCTGCGAGGTGTTTCTCTTGCGACACATTTAGGAAGAGTTTGGAAACTCAAAGTGCAGATGATATAAGTACCTTAAGATCAGACAAGCAAGATAAGGCTTGCCTTACCATTTCTTGTGTTTGCACCTCGCTACACGCAACCGATACTGATAATTCAGCCCGCCGCGCACAAACAAATGTCTTCAATGGATTTTCAGGGCATTCGCTTATTTTCACTGGAAGACAAGCAAACGTGTCGTAAGCAGCTAAGAATAGAGAGAAAACAACAGCTGCAAGGATGCTCCACACTAATGATCTCGAGACTTCGAAAGCGCCTACGGCATGCAATTTTGCGTGCAAACATTGAACCTGTTTGTCTCAAATCATGAATCCCTTACAGTCTATGCTGCTTATCCCAAGGAAAACAATCAAAAGCTTTGCTGCATTCCCTTGCAAGCATGGCAAGTTCTCAATGTTTTCTGCTGGTCCCTCTAATTCCCACAATGGCCCCTCTATCAAAGACCATTATTTAATTATATCCATATTCAACTGCGCAATTGCAAGCTTTGACATCGCAGTGATGATTCGAATTATATTGCTTGACATGCTTCATCTCTCACCTATCTCCACTCTAGAGACCTCAATAGTTAAATTAGCACATGTCAACCTCCCTTCGCTTCTGATCCATCATTCGGATTCACACTTTCCATCATCAAGTTCCTAAACATCGGACGATTGTATCCTTCATCTCGGTATGGAATCTCCAGAGATTCATTCAGCGTAAGTGACAAGAACCCTTGTCCGAAACTACCGAACGAATGCCTATGAGATCGGGACTGCTTTCTATACCTCTGACAAGATGATCATAGGATATTGGGCTGGGATTGGGGCAGCACCGCAATCAGAGTCAGTCTACTCGCTTTCCAAGGTAGAGAGCGGATTCTACAAGATGTTTTCAACACAGAATCTCATCCTGGGCACGATGAGCGATACCAAAAGGGTGCCTTCAGCTCGGCCCTGTATTTAGACGGAAAGGGCGATGTGTACCTGGGCGAAAGAATGGACGACAGTCGAATTCCTACCCCCTCCAAGGAACTTTTCAGCAGCAATTCCGCCGCCATCAATAGTTTCAAGGCTATCAACAAGAATCTGAACAGGGGGGGAAGCAGGAGCTCCCAAAAGCTCATTCGCGAGGGAATGGACGCCATCGCCAGAGCTGTTCTTCAGCAAGTACAAAGTCACTGTCAAGGAGGGGATTTACACGGCCGTGTGCTCAGCGAGGTCAAGATCCTTCGGGTTGGACTGTCCTACCCAGCATTCTGGGGGCACGAGGAGCGAACCCTCTACGAAGACATCATTAGGAGAGTTATGCCTGAGTTCCCTGATATTTTCACGACCGACACAGAGGTAGACTTCCACGTGGAAAGTCTAGCTTCAGCACATAACTTATTCTGGAACCAACGCCTCCACAATAAGATTCTTCGAATCTCCGACAAGCCTGCACTTTTAGTCTTCTTGGACTTTGGCGGCTACACTTTGGTAAGAGTCTAGACACCTTGCTCCCCACATCCGAAGCCGCGCCCGGTATGAGATGATACTGACAATTATCCATCAGAACGGCTGCATGTTTACTGTTGTTCAGGGCAAGAAACAGGTGTTTAGCTACTATAGAGTAGGCGACACATTCTGTAAGTTGGTACTTCGGTTGTCTCTGTTTGTGCTGCTGTGCAACAGCCGTGGCTAAATCTTGTTCGCCCAGGCACAAGCGGCGGCACTCAACTGTGGGAGCAAGCCTTCGGGAAATTTGCAATAGAATACTGCGAAAAGACGCTGAAATCCAAGCTACCTCCAAGACAGCGGACGCGCCTTTTTCAAGACTTTCATCTGCAGATCAAGAAGTTCAGCTCGGACAAAATCAAGGAGATGTCGCTGCATGTCACAGATCCGCAGAATGCAAGGAAATCGTTGACGGTTTATCTTTCGGAAGAAGAATCCAAGGGCTGCTTTTGGGATGGGCTGAAACGACCCATCGAGTTGGCAAAGAAGAAGATTGCCGAGGCGGCAACTCTCAGCAACAGGGTACGAGTTGTAGTTTCTGGCGGAAGCGGCAAAAGCTCCATGGTCCAGGCCCACGTCTGGGAGGCGTGCAAGAAAGCCGAAATCGATGATCCCTTCTTTTTTCACGAAAAGGCGGGAGATAAGGAGTAATGAGAGCTGTTCCAGAGCTTCTCTCAAACGTCATGTTTGCTGACTTACGCCGTAGTTCATGGAATATTTCCAAAGGAGCGGCAATTGCCACGGCGAACACCATGACGGGCCTGGAGTTCATGGAAAGAGGAGCAGCATTCGGAATCCAAGTTGGGTACTTGAAGAATTACGACGGCTCGGCATGGAAGAGAAAGCAGTCAGCCATCGCGAAACCGACTATCTTTTGGCAAGAAGAGATCAAAGTCACCGCTGATGCAGTATGTACACATTTACTTTTTCAGATGATATTGATGCAGAGCTTCGAGCTGTGACTGAAAGCATTTTACCTGTCCTACTGGGGATTGGAGACTGATATATTTGGTATACAGACGAAGTCTTATCCTTTCACAACATGGTGTTCTGGGCAGAAATGGCTCAAGATCGTATGTGATCCGTTCTTACAAGTCTCAGAACGCAAAGAGGATCTTACGGCTTCACTGAGCTACGATATCCTCGATCTCCCTCCACCCAAAAGAGGCTACTGGCGTTTCACTCATTCTATTGTCTACGACGGTGATGCCATGATCCTTTGGCTACACAGAGACTATTTGGGGAGCAACAAAGATGCACCTACAGCCATGGAATCTGAGGCTCCTTTCTCCTGCCCCATGTATTTTGAAAATTCTTCAAATTGCTTCTTGCTCGACACGGATGTGGATGATGGAGGTCGTGGTCTTCGACTCAGTGAAGAGGGAACGCTTACATCCTGCACTGTGGATTCCGTGAAGGAACAGCTGATAGGCCTAAAGGAAAGCACACGGGACCATTGTCCGCCTCGTAAACGCCAGATACAGGTATCGGAAACGTCGCCACGGACGAAGAGGCGACAACCCGGATGGAAGCCCACTGGTCATCTCCCTCCTTTTCGACCACCTTCAGCGGCAAGCTGCGATTCATCACAGGGGCAAAACGAAAGAATCTTAGGTGCACAGATTTCAGTTGTTGGTAACACCCACGATAGTGGCTCTGATTCCGATTACGAGCCTATCAGTCATCCAGGGACGCCTCCAACAAGATCGATGAAGACGAGAAGTGGCTCATTACGGGAACGAGGCGAGCACACCCAGTCGTCAGTCGAATTGGGAACCGAGTATTCGCAAACCCCCTCAGAATACGACAGTGACGATGTTCATCTTGCCTCTTAATGTTTCGGGTTAGGTGACAGCCTTTGAGCAATCGCGAAATTCAGCGTTTTCGCTACGGCATCTTTTCTGAACGGAGCTTAATGCGCCGATTGGTCTGAGAGGAGGGAAAGATAGTTTGCTAGCTAATACAATCGTTCTATCCTTACTTAATACTGCTTCCACCCATGGTTTCCTACGTACTTAGGCTTCTTGGAGTGTGCCTCCCAAAAGGAAAGGAATTGGAGGTGTTGCCGCAAGTAAAGTACTGGGGGCTAAATTGTATTGAGGCACAGTCGAAGTAAAAGGGATGCCGCAGTAGTAAAAGTAAAAGCGAACTTACCGCCATCTAAATGAGTAGGTTATTCTGTGTTCCAGTTGCAGGCTCGAAATTCACTGTTCATGGAACGTGATCCAAGCAATAAGGCTTATTCTTCATGTTGTAGAGGCTATTTCCACACGTGAAGGAACCGGTACAAAGCGCAACACAGGGACCGTCCGCGTTGTGTTACGGCACATACAGACTGACAAATGCGTTAAACATCCTTGAAAGGCCACAAATACTTGCTATTTAGCTGTAACTGGGGCTGTGTAGAGGGTGCGCCTGGCAACGTCGGTACAAGCTGTGGTAATTGGTGGCTTCAATAGGGGCGCACGTGTGAGAGCAATCACTTGCATACTATGCAGCATTTCCACTTGCTTAGCCTACGGGGATTTGTGCTTCATTATTTTACTCTTGGGATTGAGAACAAATGCGACGGTGGCCTTGCAGGTCACTCGCGAAGCCTTCGATAATGGATGGTAGCGAGGAAATTCAAAACGGCAATCCTCTGGATCTGAAATCCAAGTAGGCTGTTGTGGTGTCCATATGTCGATGCGATATCAAATGTGATCTTTGGTTGGGCACTAGCATAACATGGTAGAAGTATTGATGGCCTTTTGTACGGTATCGAGGTAAGGTACGTAAATGAGGCATAGATATCAAAGCCAAACACTGTCTCTAGTCATCCACGGACTTCAAGTCTCGCCTCATTCTCCACTTTGGCCCGACCTTCATTTCTATATACATGAGGGGTAGGAGTAGAGCACAAACGCCGCCAAGTAGAACATAACTCCAACTGATGCGCAAGGCAGCCGTCATCCTGTCGATGAGACCCACCAAGAGGGCTGCCAGCAAGCAACGTACGAGGTTCGTCTATTACTAGCATTAGGATTTCCGAGTTCCGGCAGAGTTCGAAAAAGCCAGTTACTCACACATGCTGTCGCGGCCGAGCTCCTAGTTTGTAGAATATCGATCATAAGAGTCATGGTCGTATTGAGGATAGCGATCGACGTATACCCCACTAAAAGCGTCAGTTGTGGAATCGCGACCCGACTGAGGATAAATATTTAGCTTATGATGTTGACTTACAGACAATCTGAAGGATGAGAGGGACGGCGATATGAACCCCTCGGTCGACGCAAAATCCCCATGCTATCACAGCTCCGGAGAACAGAACCAGCAACACCGGCATGGTCCTAAGACGTGCATACTCCTTGGGAAACAAGATAGCGCCATCGGATTCCTCAACCTTTTTCTTAATACGAGCATAGTCCCAATCGAGGAACTTGCCGGTGAGGGTGCTGCCAACGATCATGCCGAATCCCGTGGACAGGTAGCACAGACCGAGGGCGGTCTCGGATAACCAAGGATAGACTTTGGCAAAGGAAGAGGCAACCGTCGTCACGACGGTGTTATTGACTGCGTAAACGACGCCCGTAAAGGTGAGGGTTATAGCGACGTCCGGATATACGAGGATGACAAAAGGATTGATTGATCGCTTGACGCCGGACTTGTTGCGCTGGGTCTTGTTCTTCCTTCGGGATCTACCTACCACGGGTAAGAGAGGGGTGTACACCCCACCAAGAGAGATGCTCCCGTTGCCGACGAGGTTGCGAAGAGTCTCCGGAAGGAACCTATAGAGATTAGTAACTCTTAGCGCACGGTCTTGAGGGGGGAAAAGGAAGGCCGAGGGCTTGTCTAGCTTGCAAGGCGAAACTTACAAAAGGATGAAGAGAAGGCAGCAAACAGCCATGATGACCTGGAACCAGAAAATGGAGCGCCATCCAAGTTTATCAGAAAGTGCACCACCAATCGCCGGAGCGATACAGGGTGAAAGCTGATAGTGTTAGTACCATGATAAGGTAGGGTAAAATACCCTTCGCAAAGCTCCAATAGTTGGCTAAACGTACCATAGGGCCCAGATTGAATGTGCCAAAGAATCCTCCCCTCTCTTCGGGAGTCGAGATGTCTCCGATGACACCCGCACCTGATATTCAATTGATTAGCCCCGCACATACAGTGGGATGAAGAAAAGAATGAGTTAATACCAAGAGCGATTGTGCTGGCGCAACCTGCAGCCTGCAAGCATCGGAGGACGATCAAGAGCCAGAAAGCGTCTGTAGGAATTACGGCTATTCCTATACACGCTCCGATCAAAATGGTCAAGCAGACTAGGAAGACTGGCCTCCTCCCGTAGCGGTCGGAGAGGGGTCCCCATAGCATCGGAGCTATTCAGGTATAAGTGTTAGGTCGTATTCTTCCACTGAATAGCTGGTAGGGTGGATATCAGGGGGTAATTTTTTGCAGGTCGTCTTTTACTTACAGACGCCCTGAGTCGCCAGAAAGGCTGTCACTGTCAAGTTCAGAAGCTCAACAGACTTGCCGAATGCTTCTGATAGCTTCGGGATAGCAGGTAGGTAAATGTTTGCCGGCAGCGGGCTACGCCGGATGTCAGGGTAGGCAATGTGAGGCACAGAAAGACCTTACTTACCTATAGAATCCCGCGACGGCGACCATTGCGACAATGAACCACTTCTCTGTGCGAGAAAAGATGCTGTAGGGCTCCGTTGGTGCATTCCCTTCCAGCGGTAGCACGAGGTTCTCCTGTCCGGGTTGGGTGTTCGGAGCAGCCGCAACGCCGGTCTCGGCATCGGGGCCATCGGTTTTAGGTTCACCCATCGTGGGGCGCAACTCGGAGGCCGGGGATCGGGGAAGTGGAGGCCGTGATGGAACCGTCCGGACGGTTCAATGGACTTGTGCTTCTCTTGGCGGAGGAGAATTGAGAATAAGAGGAAGAAATGCCCCTTGCGGTCCCCCTGCTGGCGAAATATCCATACCACCTCGGCCTACGAAAATTCTTGACCGATGACATTTTGGACCCCACGCAGGCCCAGAAATCGGCCAAAATATTTCGGCGCCGGTTTCGGAAAAGGCGAACAGCGGCGGGTCTGCCGCGGCACGGTCATCCGAGAAGGGGGAGGGGCCAGTCCCCGTTTCTTAGGCTATGGACGGTTCGCATTAGTTAGCCTGGGCAGTCATTGATGTAATCTGTTTTTAGGCCTGCTAGGTAAGCGGACTGGCACATTGGCAGAGGGGCTCCTGAGCGGTGGATCTGTGTGGATTCGGCTCGTGGGGACTTCAGGCCGGCTTGCGGTGATGTTTCCGGCGCATATCCGGAGTGCCAAGTTCCAAGGTTAATGATAGGCTACCATGGGCTCGTGACCGCTAGGAGGTCCGATATATCGGAGGCTAGGACCTTGAGATATCTGACAATGTCTTTTGTCTGTTTCTCATCTTGTCCAGAGATGCAAGGTGAGGCTTTCAAGGGCCTAGGTTGATGGCTTCCTAGCGATCGGCTTCCACTTGGAACACCTTGGCGAAGAAAACCTTCACCTCTACATGTACTTTGTCCAAGTCAAGCACATGGACTATATTATTGTCAATCCCTGAGCGATCAAGTTCAACACCACCTAGAAATGATAGACTTGGCTTTAAAGACGAGGAAAAGACCAGTTGGCTTTGATCCCGTCAAAAGTTGCGACTATCTTGCACGCCTTCTAGTCCACGACCATCACAAGTATGATCGAGCTTCGACAGTAGGATAGGCTCAATGAAACAATATCTCCAGAGAAATTCTCTCGCCACAACGAAGCGCCATGCGGAAGTCAAAAGTTTCCATCCCAGATGCGCAGAGACGAGAGTAAAAGAGCTGGAAAGGCATCCTTCATCGCCGAGTTACATTAGGCTGGATTATTTAAATATGAGGTACCGCCCTGATTTTCGGCGACGAGCGGGTCGTTGAAAAGACAGTCAATATCCTTGCCTTGTGTTGGTGATGAACGCGAACATACTCCTCTGAATGCCCATCTTACAGGGCATTATCCTCAACTCGTCTTTCTAATCATGTGAAGAATTCTTCTGTGACATAGGAGGCAGAGCCACCTTCGAGATGCTAGGCGCAACGTCCGGGCTTGCTGTGAGGGAACTCGGCTCTAGCTATCATGTTCTTTGCCCTTCTGGTAACGATTTGACCAAGATATTAAGTACCAAGCGACGGCTGAGGATCTCCTGGTATACCTATGCAGGTCACCCTGTTCCCGCAATCCTCCTTATGATCCTCGGCGCAGCTATTGAAGGAGCAGTGCCCAGCGCGCCCTGATTTTGAAATTGCCTGCGAGAACGAAACAGTCTACAGGGTGATGTCAGCTATGGTTGATCCAGCAGGAGGTCTCAGCAAGTTCGATAGCATAGTCCTCTCATCCAAGCTGTTCGGCAACATCGCAGTAAAAGGGTGCACCATAGCCCTCAATCTCCAGCTCCTCGTCTCTTCCCTTTCCCGAAGGTCCGCAAATATCTCTTGCGACTCGTATGCGCCGATGATGACAGCGGTGGCAAGTCTCGTTGACATTCGTGACACAGCAGATTTCATTGAGAGTCTGGAGACCTTCGTCCCTCTCATTAAGTAGGTACTGGTCCGTAGCATTCCTCAATGTGAACCGTGGACCGTGGACCGTAGTGTTTGTCGACCACTTCGGATTCCGTAGCGTCAACAGCGCAACGTAGTGCCCAGACTCCTGGGACTACGCCGTAAGGCTGCCGCTCGTCGTGGCTGTGTTTGCTCATGCTGCTCTTACCTCGGCGTCCTCGTTCCCTGCGTGGCGCAAATGTGGTGGATCGGGCCGATCGCCGAGAGGGCCGGGAT